ACTACTTTCTAATCTAAATAGTTGGAGATGAGGCATTTTGATGATCTGAACAAGACGCCCATCTCTGCTGCTGTTCTACCCATTCTAGAGTGAAGCGGATGGATTTCAGCTTTTGCGTTTCATTTGGTACCTATCTTAACCTTTTATTCTTTTCCTCCGTCCTTTTCTTCCCCCATACTCCTCCCCAGCCAGATGGAGTCACTCTGTGTCTGGGGTGTCCTTGATGTCCTGTCTTTAGCCTCAGCCTTCAGAAGGCTGCAGTCACAGGTATGTGCCTTAGACCAGGTTCATGTGTTACCTTTCCTGAGGACCAGTTCTATCTCTAGTTTGTAAAGATTCCACAGTTAAGTTCTTTTCTTCAGTGTGGAAAACACTGTAATTGTGACTTTAATTTCATCTGAGAAAAGACGCTAGGCTTTATAGTTTAATAAGCAATTTTCAAGTTAAGTGTTGCCCAACTGTCAGCCCTCTATCAGAGACTACCAAGAACAGCCACATGGTTGCCAGGACAGATTACTGTCTAATCCTTCCTATTTGGGAAGTCTAATTTCTGAAGGGAAATGAATTTTAAAATGAGATGATTCTTAAAATTAAATTGCTTATTTAAAGATGGACAAATTCTGAGCTAGACCTAGAGGAAAACACTAGTTGTTTGGTTTTAATTCATATACATACACAAGTCTTTAAAACTGGAACAAATGTTTTATTTTTATGCATTTGAAATTTCATAACAATGAAAGTTACACAGACTAACTGCTACACAGCAGCGTTTGGGGGGTGTGATGGTCTTTTGAATAAATGACATTTCTACGTGTGAATAGGACAGGCCAGCGGATGCACTTGATCTCTTGGCCATTATTCAGCTGAGTGAGACTTTAAAACACCTCAGCCATAGTGAGCAGTTAAGTCCCTCTCCATAGAGTTTCAGGTTGCTGCTGTTTTTAAATTTTACTTACTGGTTTTTATTTTTCTTTTCTTTTCTATTGTAGATTTGGTTAGAAAAAATTACTGGGATTAGAAATGTAATTATTTAGATACTAAAAGGTTGTTTTAGGAATTTGACTAGCATTAGAAAGAAGTTTTTAAAGACTGGAATTCCATTGTCTTACAAGAAGTAAGAAATATTTATTGATTCCCAAATGGGGCTGAAGAAACTTTTCCTCTTTAGAAGGCTTTGAATGACTCAGCGAGAGCCCTGGTGAGCTTGACTGAACCAAGCTGCTAATAGTTATTTAATGTTATTCGCCAGTGTGAAAGAATCGCTGTAGATTTTCCTTTTAATCTCTTTGAATTGCAGGCTCATAAACCTCTCTGATGAGCCCTGCCAGTGTTGTCTTAGATCCCACTGTTGAGACAATGGAGCCACAGAATTCTTTCACCTCTTGTTGTCAGACAAACCCAATAGAATGCAAGGTCAGAAGGGCCTATACTTCTAAAGATTGAAAGATTCTTTTTCAAGTGACCACATAAATTATTTGATTTTATCTTTATATTCTTCGGGAACCTCACACTAACTAAAATGCCCTGTGTTTGTTACATAAAAGTAAAATTGAAAGGTAGGGGAGTTGGTGATTGTCGTGTCTTACTTGGCCAAGTTTGTCAGTATGACATAGGGTGTGAACAGACCTTAATATTCCTATATATCCTCAGAAGAGCTGGGCCCATTTTGTAAGAAAGAATCAAAGTGTGTAGTTCCTGCACTGGAGAGTGAGCACACCAAATGCCAGCAGTGTGCTCTTTACAGATGCCTGTGGGTTGCTTTGTTCTTCTTGATTTTTGTTTGTTTTCTCAAATAGTTGTTGCCATTATGTAGGGAAAAAAAGATTCAATTTTTAAATTTTGGTCTTTAAATCAAGTCAGTTTCTTTTCTCAGTGTTAGTAGTGTCATATTTCCACAGGAGAACTTTGAGGTGACATTTGCACTTCTAGATCTGCCTATTAAAATGTTTCATTGCCATGAACAAAATTTTGTACGTGTGCAAGTGCATTATGTCTGTGTGCGCGTATCTGTGTGTGTGCATGTGTGCGTGTCCTTGTGTTTGTGGCTTCAAAAGAAAACATACTCATCTGTTTTGAAGATGCCATGCCTGATTAATACAGAATTATCAAAGCTACTTTACTTTCAGGACTCCTGCAAAGTGACTTCAGTGGATAGGAAAGAATTAAGATTTTGAATTATAACGACAATGGTGGACAAGCAGAGAAAGCAGAGATCATTGTTTTAAAAGAAAGAAAAACACATTGATTTGTTTGTACTCTTTTCTTGTAATTGTAGTGGGGGTTGGGATGGCTGGGTGGAATGTGCTGTTGCCCTATCCTTGGACACCTGCCTCTCAACAAAGGATCGTGGTCACCCCCCACTGCCCACATTTAGATTCACCTTTTACTTTCCTGTAGTGTGTCTGCTCATTATACAGTTCTCCAGGGATCCAATTTTCCTCTGAGTTAATCACCCTGGTCTTTTCAGAAGCTGTTAGATTGTTGTCTTTTGAAAGGACAATAACTTTTCTTAAAAAAATAACTTTTCTTATTTCTAGTTTTTCAAACAGGACCACTAGAGTCTCAAATACACTGTCTTTGAAACTTTTTGTTGAAGTATAACATGAGTAGATAGATAGAGGTGCAGAAATCTATGTCACTTGATAGATTTTTCACTATAAGCACACCAATTTAACCAGAAAGCCCCCAAGACTTCCAGAAAGCACTTCTTGGCCCTCAACAGCATAGGGAAGGCTTCCTGGCATGTTGCAAATTCCTATTTATGTCAGAGCCTAATGTTTAAAACCAGACTCATGGATTTTTTGTGCACACAGTATTGAATAATCAATATCTTCATGTTTCCATAGCCACAGAACTCCACTATATTCCTTTTAACTCTGATCTCTGACAAAGAACTACTAATGATTTTTGTATTCTCTTTTCCCTTTCACCATGAGATGGGCTACGCTAATCTTTTAACCAAGAATAGGTGATACTCTTAAAGGCCCTGTGCATAGGGATAAAGAGGAAGAGAAAGTAATGAAATGTGGGGGGATTAATGGAGTGGTATACAAAATAGTAACTAGATCAGAATAATGGTTGCTTCCCAGTAAAAGCAGAACAGTAGGAAGCTGACTTGCGTGGCAGTTACATTTGAAAGATATTTCTCATTTATTATTTATTTTCAAATACAGTGGTATTTATAATTGTTTATCATTTTAATACAGTTAGTCTATTCTGGATAGCCACGCTCGGTCAGGCTGAGAAAGCAGATTCCCCTAATCTGTTTTGCTTCAGTTGTGTGCAAAGTATAGAGAAATAGAAGATTCCTTAGGAGCTTGGTTGTAAATTGATGATACTTATTTATTCTCCAATTCGGTCTTTTTGCTGTGAATTATCCCCATCCCTCAGATATTAATTTCTTAATTCTAACAAGTTGACCCTTCTGAATAAGAGACTAAAACAGAATTTTTTCTGTTCCCTAGACTTTCAGATTGATATTTAAAAATTAAAATTAATATTACAAATGGAAAAAGCCAGGTGTGTCAGCACACACCTCTAATCCCAGGACTCCAGAGGGAGAGGTAGGTGGTTTCAGGCCAGTCTGGTTTACATAGTGAGTTCTAGGACAGCCAGGGCTATGTAGAGACCATATCTCAAAGGAAAGGAAAAAGAATGGGTAGGGGTGGGGGGACAAGTCAGGCATGGTGGCTGCAGAAAGACTGCCATGAATTCAAGACTAGCATGATCTACACACAGTTCGTTCAGTTGTAGCCTGGACTATAAAGTAAAACCTGGTCTTTTGAGAGTGAGAGAGAGAAAGCCAGACAGCTAGGCAAGTATACTTTGTATAGAATGTGAAAAATAAGTTGTTTTGTTTAGGAACTACTTAGCATACTATAAATTATGTATAAGCTGTTCAGTGGTCATAGATAGTTGGAAGGGCTGTCTGGACCACAAGACAAAGTCTGTGTCTGGATTTTAGGGACAGTTTAAGAGACTGTTGGTACTCAGTAAATATGATGTAGTATAATATTTGCCATACTTTAATAGAAGAGTATGTTAGGTTCAAAATATTGTATAATCTTTTCATTTATTTTTAAATTGTGTAACTCACCAATAAATTCTGAGCAGGTGGTTATTAAATATAATTAAGTTGCAGGCATGCACACAACAGAACAAAGGGACGCATTCTCAGCAAGGGAACAGGAGACTAGTGAGACAGCTAAAGAAATTTCCATTGAAGTTGGGGGAGGTTGTGAATTACAGTAATGTGTTCCTTTTTCTCTTTTTTTTACGCGTTAACTTCTAAAAGAACAATACACACATACAGAAATTACACAATGCTTTTGAAAACAGTGTGTAAGGTTCCCCACCTATAGTTGCTATCTTTGCTCAAATTTACATGTTTTAAGTGAGACTTCATGCTATTTCTACCCAGACCATACTTACTACATTTAGATAGATTCATGGCTCCGTGAGACCCTCTATCTATAGAGGAACATTTTGGCCAGGGAACAGCAAAAGATGCAATAGCACACAGCCCTGCTGTTGGATTACCATAGTAGTGAAGTCCCCTTCCCTTTAGATTCTTACTATTCTCTTGCAACCAGATGACCAAGAGTCCCCTATGTTTTTGTAGCTTTGCTCTTTACAGCACCTCTGGCCTGATCTCATATGGTTTAAAGAATACCCATTAGTCTGCTTGAGCTGCCATAACAAAACTGCAGGCCATGTACCTAACCAGAATTTATTTCTCATGATTCTGGAGGCTTGAGAAGATCAAGATCAAAGTGTTGGCCAGTTTTGTTTCTCTGGAGGGCTGTTTTTCGGGCTTGCTCTTGTTCTTCATATAGAGTTTCCTCTTTATCTGGGTAGGCATGATATGTGCCCTCCCTGCTTCTGTGCTGATGTCAGAAGCTACATGGCCTGCAGTTTTGTTATGTGGTCTGAACGGCCACACCAGAGATGCATTATCAGCATTCTTCATTATTAAAATTATCTTGTTTTGTATTTTACAGAAGATGAGCTAAGAACTATAGGGCCAGTGGACAAACGGGTGCACCTTGAAGAGATGTCCTGGAATAAAGGTTGGATTTTATTTTGTCATATCCACACTAAGGAGAAATGTTAGGAGTATGTGTGTATGTGTGTTTGTGTGTGTGTGTGCATATATATATATGAAAAAATAATGATATATGGAAGTCTTAATAAGTTTTACCTTTCCACATTTTTTGTTTGGCCTACTTTAATCAGCTTTGCTTATTGAAAATTATATGACTTATTTCTCGTTTTTTATTCCAATTAAGTATATAGTTTTTCTTTTTCTTTTTTTTTTTTACCACATTGATTATTGCATTGTTATGTGTAATATGGTAAAAAAAATAAAACAAAATGATAATATTCTTGAGGCTGACAATGAAACTGCTGTCAGAATTTCTTTTTGCTTCATATGGACTCAGAAACTGATAGGTCTTTTCAGTGTCCTGACCTTCTGCTTTAAGGGATTGCTGTTTTCTTTGCCCTCACTTTCACTGTTTAGCTTTGTTTGAGCCAAGGTCTCATGTGTAGCCTGATATCATATCATCTGAAAATACCTATGTTAACTGAAAATGACCTGAACTTCTGATCCTCCTGCCTCCACCTGCTGACGCTGGGGGCTGCACCCAACCCACCACACTGTTATGTGGTGCTGGCACTTCCCTAATGCTGCTCTCACTTTTTGATTGTCCTTAGGAAAAGTCATGTCTTCTTTTCATGTTCTTTTACTGGAGTATTAAAATTGTAGTAACCAATGTAATTTTTGCATTCTTCTGTTCTTTGCAATTGTTGTGGTTACACATCATTAAATTAAGGAAACACAACTTTCTAGATGGAAGCCATGAGCTTCATTCAGTACTTTTCTTGGAAAATAAAATTACTATTTGCTAATTTTTTTATGTACTCTTAACTCTATAGATTTATTTTTCAGTTTAAGGTATGATCCCTGAAAGGGCTTATAGAAGCTTACTCGTGAGTGAAGGTGTTTAAAATACAATCCTTGAAAAGACCTATAGAAGCTCACTAATGAGTAGGGCACTTTGATAGACTCAGCCACCCTTCTTGGAATCAAGCTTCATTTATAACGACAGATTCTTTACTAGTGCTCTAAGGTAGTGAGTAACACACGTTATTGACTTAGAAGAGGAACCAGGTTTTGTCTGTAGTTCTACTCTGTATAGCCATTCCAAATAAAATTCTGGTGTAGAAGCTCATATTTACAATGAAAAATCAGAGTCCTGGGGTCTTCTGGAGTATTTGCAGTAAAAAGGAAGGACTGCTCTTTGTTGCCAGCTTGTGGAGAGACAAATTAGAATGTGACATTCATTCGAGATTTGTCCAATTAAATATATTTTTAAAAAGTATACCTTGGGGACTGGAGTATATATACTCTTGGCTTCCATTTAGATGGTTCAGTGGTTAAGAGCACTGGCTGCTTTTGCAGAAGACATGCATTCAATTCCCAGCACCCATGTGGCAATTCACAACTGTCTATACCCTAGTTCCAGAGGATCCACAACCCTCTTGTGACTACCACAGGCACTGCACACGGGGTACATGTGGGCAAGCATTCATGCAGGCACAACACCCATACACCTAGATACAAACTGAAAAAAAATTAAATTTATTTTGACTCCTTGTTAATCATTAAATGTTTAGTTGCTTTTTAAGTACATTATTTTTAAGTATTCACTTTACATTCTGGTCATGGCCCCTTCTCTCCTCTGCTTCTGGTTGCACCCTCTCTCCTTGTTTCTCCTATCTCTCCCTTTTCTAATACTTATTGAAGGGGAGTCCCCCTACCCACCCACCCCAACATACCACGTCTCACCAGACTGAACACATCCTTTTCTCCCCTGTGGTCTAGCAAGGCAGCCCCTCCAGGGGAAAGTGATTAATTTTATGTTTTATTTTATGTTCATTGGCATTTTGCCTGCATATATGTCTGTGTGTGTCAGAAGCCCTGGGATTCTGGTTATAGACAGGTATGAGCTGCCATGTGGGCACTTGGAATTGAACCCAGATCCTCTGGAAGAGCAGCCATCTCTCCAGCCTGCAAATTAGATCTTGATGTAGTTGTTAATACTTTGCTTGTTAATGGTGTCTAACAGCGTGAAAATAGTACAAGCTGATTTTTTGTAACATTTTTATTTATATTTGAGCATTTTGATTTTCTAGTTTTAAGATTCTATCTATCTATCTATCTATCTATCTATCTATCTATCTATCTATCTATCTATCTATGCATCTATTTATTATTTTATTAAGAGAGTGTCTCATGTAAACCACACTAGCCTCAGACTGTCAAGACAGAGGGAGAAACCTTGAACTTTCCCAATTTTTTACTCTCCAAGTACTGAAATTATAGGCATGTCCAACCAGGCCCAGTCTAAAACTTTATTTTAAATGCAAAATGTGAATTGGTGGTTAATTTCAATATAGTAAAGTTAAGTACAGAAAATGAAATCACAGTGGTTATCAGAAGTATATTTTTGACCCTGGATCACTGTGCATGTATGTGTGTGTGCGTGCGCAGTGGTGGGGTGGGTCCACTTGGCCACAGCTTGATGACAGGATGTTCTTTCAATTGCTTTTCCACATTATTTTTTGAGAGTCTTTTTCACTAAGTCCAAATCTCAGATTGGCTAGTCTAGATGGCCAATAAGTCCTGGAGTCTATCTGTTTCTACTCTCTGCTGACTCATTAGTACTAGGGCTATAGTAATAGGTGTGTGCCACAACTGGCCTTCATGTGGGTGCTGCAGTTCAAATTTCAAGTTCTCATGTTTTGTAGTAAGCACTTTACCCACTGAGCTATTTCCCCAGTCTCTTCTAAAATAATCTTCGTAGTAAAAGAGAGCAGAACTACAGCTACAGCCAATGAATCAATAAGAAGCATACATAATATTACACACCTCAGGCTGGGACTGAAACTCATGGGAACAGCGCTTGCCTCACTGCATGAGGCCCTTGGTTTAATCCTCATTGCTGCTAAAAGGAGAAAGGGTAGGATTAAAATATAGACCATCTTTGATGCTCATTTAAATTAAGTTGTAAAGATAGAAATCATCCTTGTCCTCCTGAGAAAAATGAGGACAATATAATATCTATGTCAAGTCTGGAATCTGACAGGAGTTTTAAAAACTAATATAGCTTTTAAACTAACTTTCTGTGATTAGAAAACGTAGTCTTAGAAGAATAAATAAATTTTTAAAAAAACAAAAGGAAAAAAGAAAAACAGTCTTAGCATATAAAGTTAATAAAAGGTCTGTCAAGTGGGCAGGTTATATTGTTTGGATTCTTTCAAGGTCATTTTTACAATGAGCTTGGGTGATGAAGGTCCAGAAAAAGAGATGTAGACACATACGAGAGACATGGTCCAGCAGTGCATTTCGTTATGCCGAAAACATGTTCCTGATAACACTGGGACACGGAAGATAAGCTTTCTCCAGACAATAGCCTTGGTCATTCTGTTGATTTTCATACACTGCATCTAAAATGGTTTATATGAAAATACTGCTTTAAGGCCTCAGTGAAGAGAAGAAATTTTAACCAGATATGAAGATGAAAACTCATGGCAAAACTCCAGGGTGAACCCTGGTGCCCTCTGCATCACTTGAGGCTTATGCCACCTCAGATTGTTTCTCAGCATTCACTGAGGCAGTTTTAAAGGGTGTGTGTGGTGGGTCCTTCCCTTAAGAAACCTAATGGCCATTGTATATAATAAAATAGAACAAAAACATACCTCAAAAAGAAGGAAGGGAGGAAAGAAGGAAAGGGAAAGAAAAGGAAAAGCGAGGGAGAGGAAAAAGAAAGAGAAAAGAAAAAAGTACAGGGGCAAAGCCAGGCATAGTAGCGTCTTTACTTTTTTGAGAAAGAGTCACATGTATGTAGTTCTGGTTGTCCTGGAGCTCACTATATACACTAGGTTGGCCTCACCTAGATTCTCTGCCTCTGCCTCCAAGTGATGGGATTAAAGGCTTGGGTCACTGGGTAAGGCTTGGTAGCTTCTAATTTTAGTCCTTAATCCCAACACTTGTAGGCTGTAAAGCTCAAGGCCAGTAATAGCTACTCAGTAGGATCCTGTCCAAAAAAAAAAGAAGGAAGGAAGGATGGATGGAAGGAAGGAAGGACAATAAAAGGAAAGGAAAGAAAGAAGCAAAACAGGAGGAGGGAAAAAAGAGGGCTTGGCAGATGGATCCCAGGGACCTACATGGTAGAAGGAGAGAACTAACAGACACATACACTTTATCTTCTGACCTCTACAAACATGGCATGGCACATGTGCGCACGCACACACATAATAACAATAATAAATGAAAAGAAAATCAACTTTCAATTTTTAGGTAATTAATGTAATTAATTTTAGGTAATTAATGTAATTCACTTTAAAAACATGTTTTCATTAGTTATATATATGTTGGCTTTAACGGGAGATTTTTGCATTTCTAAATTCAAAATGAGATTTTTTTTGTTTGTTTGTTTATGGAGAAAACCCACATTGTGACAAAGAGTAAAAGCAAGAACCAAGTTATGTTTTTCTTTTTGATAAAGCTGCACATAAAGTTGGCCTAACAGCCCATTTTTCAAAGACTGCATTTTATACAGAGCAAGCACAAGCTGAAGCTCATTTCAGCCTCTCTCGTCCTCCCTCTTGCACAGAGTGAGCTCTAAATGTAGCCGAGTTTGAGAGTCAACTGGAGCTACTTGAGGATCCTGTGCCCACTGACATGCCATTTGTCTGTATAAGTTATGCGTGCAGTAAAACAGTATGACCTGGTGAGTTCTGATAACTACAATACTTCCCAGAAATAGTAAAGTAGAACAGCAGTAGGATCAGAGGCTTTCATTCAAAGGACAGGAGCATCTAACCTTCCCATTCCCACCATTACTAACAGGTATGCTGGGATATGCCTGCAGTCCTGGCACCCAGAGGCTGACTCAGGATAAGTAGAATTCAGAGCCATTCTAGGCTACACAGCATAATTAGGGCTTTACAAATAAAACCTAAGGCAAAATGGCTGAAGGAATAAAGGCATTTGTAGTCAAGCCTGACAATTTGAGCTGAATTCCCAGATATGGTGGAAGGGGAGAACTGACCTCCACACTCATGCTGCGCCATTTGTGTAAGAGCACACACATGCACGTGCTCCCCCCACATAAATGTAATTATTTTAAAAATACAAAGTAAAATTTAAAAACCCCATCGTCAAATGTACTATTTGTATGTGATTTTCCTATAGTACTTACCATTTTAAATACAAAGCTAACAGATACATAACTCACGGGAAAAGAGAAAAGCGAACATTTGATGTAATTGAGTCCTGTAACATGGAACTTGAGGGAAACAGTTAACTGAGGTAGCCACCTTCCCTAGGAGAAAGACGAGTAAATTCCATGTTCCCTTTATCCTCACTGTAACATCTTAAATGCCCTGCTGAGAAGACTATAGAATTTTCAGGGTTCTTAAGAAAACAAAATTCCAAGTAAATTTCCTAGATTACTCTGAGCATCCTTTGCTGCAGCCCTATCCATGAATACAGAACAGAGTCAGCGCACCAGTCTATCGCCACTCCAGACGGGCTCTGCAGTGGGTAATAAGTTTTAGCAGCACTATTCCTATGCATGAGAATTTTTCCAGCTCTCCTTTAAACTCATTTCTTTGTTTCATTGTACAGTTTCTCTGGAACATGTTCTGTATTTTGAATGGTTTTAACAAAGTAGGTGACTGTAAGCATTTGAGGCATTACTTTGTTTCCTTTGTAGATGATGAGTCTTTTTCTCTGAGCTGTCGATGTGGGGGAAAGTACACTGTCTACAAGGATGAAGCAGAAGAAGTGAGCCTCATCTCCTGTAATACGTGCTCACTGATGGTGGAACTCCTTCATGAGAGCTGACTGCGCTCCTGGGATCCTTTACCTGCAGTCAGCATGGGCACAGATGCTTTCTTGTGGTTAGCTGTATAATTTGCAAAGATAAGATCAGATCTTCAAGCAAGGACCACTTCAGAGTAACAAATTAATTCAGTTGTTTATATGTATCTGAAATGTATAATTACAGGATATCACAAAAAGGATTATAATTATATTTTTTTATTTTTTATATGACAACTTTTGCTTTCTCCTTGGTAAATAAGCATTTTTTAAAATATAAATTTCTTTTAAAAAATCAGTTAAGAGCATTCTTTATAATTACTAAGAGTTTTGTTTGTTTTACTCATTAATGTGTGTGTGTGTGTGTGTGTTTAAGAAGGGCAGAGGACAATCTGTGAGTCTGCGAGGAGCTGATTCTTCTCTTCTTCCCCTGTGTGGATCCCAGGGGTCAAATTCGATTTCTCAGGCTTATAGTACCTGCCTGTACCTGCTGAATGATCTTGCTAACCCTAACTATGAAGTTGCTGATCTAAAACATGATGGTTTTAGTTGCTGAACATATATGCCTGTTGTATACCTACTTTAATTTCTCAGGTATTCAAATTTAGAGTTTTTGTCCATAAATTGTGAGCCCAGTTCTTTCTTAAACAAGGCCGAATATGGATCTCTATGAATTTATTTCCAAACTGATAAAAAGCATCAAGTTTTAGAAAATATGACTCTTGTCCTGGCTCTGTATATCTAAAGCTTGTCAGCAGCTATCTTAACTTCAGATAAAATTTAGGAAAATAACTTAAAAAATACTGAATTAAAAAACAAAACCTGAACTTCAAAGCTGAATTTTATTTCTTACCTCCAAAGAACAAGGAGCCTTTACTTCATTAGTGGTGCAGTGAGGGCCTTTTCTAATGAATGATGGCTGAATACAGTAGACCACAGATATCATATCCTACGTGACTTCCCCTTGTATTAACATTCTGTGTAGAGTGTAGATCAGAATTCATTTCATGAACACAAGTGAAGCCTCACAGACTGCTGCTCAAATGCTTCTTTTAGGTCCAACTCTTGGTGTTGTCACAAGAACATAGACTTGGGTGCTTAGTCTGAGACTCTTGTAAAGGGCTGACAGACGAGGTACACTTGAGACCAGGTTGCTTTCATTGTACAGGAACTACATAATTCAAATGTGAGGTAGTCATCTGGATTTCTTCCCCAAGATATTTTCTATCATAAAATTTAGAAAGAAAACTTGTTTTGGGTTAATTTTTATCCAAATACTTTTAGTTAATTGCAGAGTGTGATATTTACTCTTACATCTAATTAAACACATAAATAAAACTGAATAGCAAATAGTTTATTGTTATGTCCATGGTTTCAATTGCAGTAATAAATTCATTTGAATAGGAGACAATAATCAAATAAAAAAGCAAATGCTTGCTAATCATCAGAAAATCTGTGGGCATTTGGGCTGTCACGCAGAAATCCAAAATCACTGAAAGGCCAAATCTGTAAAATGAAAATACAATTGAAGACAATTAATGAAAAATTTTTTATAATCATGATGTTCCCCTTTCCTGTTCTCTGTGTTAGATAATGTAGTGCATTCTCTTCATCAGTTATTCTGAAAATAAAATGGTTTATTCAGTCTGGATACCCAAACCCTATTTGTTTAGTGTATCAATATAAATTTGTGAAGACATGTCAGTTTCCTTTTACCAACCTAAAATGTTACGCTATCAATCTACGGTACTTGAGACTTCAAGTGCTTGAATATTGGCATCTGTTTAAGTATAAAGAATCCTGATCATTATCCAATTACCCTAGGTATTCATGAGTTTTTCTTCTTATACCCTGTGATAAAGGGAAAGCAGGTGTGGTATACACACCTGTAATCCACATCTCTGATACTAGCATTTGTGAGACAGACAGGAGGGTGGAGAATTTAAGGCTTGCCTGGAATACAGAGTATGACCTTGTCTGAAAACAAAATTATATCAATCAATAATGGAAGAACCAATGAAGATGACAATGTCATCTAAGGCTTGTACATTCACTACTGCCTTGCTCCTACCTACGGCTTGCTGTATTATTCCAAGTAGACTGGGTCTGGGCTGCTGTTAGAGAGTGCTTGCTGAAATGCTAGTATATATGACCATGGCTATAAAAGCCACACGACAGGGTTTGTTTTCTGTAAACTTGATGGTTCCCTAGGCTACTACTTTAGTTTAAATTTTGTTACTAAAAAAGTCTCAGTTATTCCCCTTAGGAGAAAGAAGGGGAGGGGATAATGTTTTGTCTGTAGCTCTTAAGTAAAGGTAAAATGTTCATTAAATACAGTCACTGAAATGGTTAAGTCAACCTGGCAGGCCATGGATTTCAAAATTTGAGAGAACCATCCCCAACTCAGAAAATAAATCTGTGTTTTAGGCATTAAACCGTACCTTAAAGAAGATCCGTCCTCTTATTAGTCCATATGGTATAGGTCCATAGTACCTGGAATCTGTAGAGTTACGTAAATTATCACCTTCTAACCAAACATGACCTATTGGCACCTGGAATTAGTAAAAGAAAAGCAGGCCCTTTAGAAACAAACCTCAACAGGGGACTATCACTGAAAATACGTCCCTTAAACCCTGAACTGTGATGCATACCTTGAATCCCAACTCAGGAGACTGAAGCAACGGGATCATGAACTTGAAGCTAGCCTGGGCTACACAGAATCTATGTGAAAGAAAAACTTTACTTGGAGAGAGAGCATATATCCTAAAGTCTTCCTTATACGTGTTGTAAAAATCTTCTACTTTTACATTCATTTCTTAGTAATATCAAAGGCTTCCACATTTTAAAAAGATCTCTTTAATATACAGGTCTCAAACATTAATTTGTAGAAACCTCGAACTTAGTTTGTAAGAAATCAAAACTATGGCAGTGTCATTAATTTAATAGACTTTGAAAGAGGTCGTTAGGCTGCTGACTGAAAATGTGCCCTCCTGTTGCAACAACAGTATAAGCAGGGCAGCCAGTCAGCTACATCCTGGGGCCAGTTCCAAGGCCAGACCTATTAGAAGGCTCATGATGAGCTAAGTGGTGATGGATTGTGACATCAATTACAAATAATCTCATCATTTCATTGCAGTGAGCTTGTCAGAGTTCTAATTAAGACCCTTGTCTTGCCTTTGTACAGGCCATATCGTCATTGCCTTATATGTTGATAATGACCATCAAGAACCAGAAGGACCTATTATAAAACCATCAGTTGCAAATTAATGACAGTGACCTTCTAGTAGATGAAAAGATAAGTCCTGTGTATTAACTGGTAAAGTTTTTTAGAAGGCGATACGCTCCAAAAATGCAGTCCTCCAATGAGACACTAATATTCACCCACTAATATCCATTCAATATAAACTTAGAAGGTGCTTTCTCGCAGCAATCTGTACACTGCCTTTTTTTGTTTTATTTTACCATTTTTTTGTTATGTAAGAAAAGTTGATTTATTGACCAGACCAAAACAATCTATTGGGAAGATTTCATTATTTTTAGTAGGGCTTAATAAGATAGTATAATTTTATTTTTTATACCTTTTTGTATATTGTGAACATTTAAATTTTAAATTAATTCTCATAAGGTTATATTTCTGGGATATCTTGATTAGAGGAACTAGTTTCAGGTCCTAGAGCTGATGACCTCTGTTACAACCTATATTGGAACCTGACTGCCAGGAAGCGCAGTGTAAGGAAGCAAGTGTATCTGAAGGCAGGCACAGTGAGCACTGCGTGTGCGAGAGCCTCGTGTCCCTACCACACTCTGAGGATTTACTTTTGGAGAAGATGCAAGATAAAGAGTGCTTGTATTTAGATTTCTGGTTTTTGAAAATGTGTTTGTTCCTTGGTCCTAGAAAATAGGTGCTATGGATGACTGAGTATGGGACACCAGTTATGAGCAAAAGCAAGGTGTTTTACAAATAGGGTCCTATGCTGACAGCCTTGAGAGGTCTCCACCTAGCTAAGGAGCGATGGCATTTACAGTCAACCTTGCCATGTTGTTCCCCCCAGTTTGCCTGCCCATGCCAAATGCTGAGTGTTTAGAACACTTGTCACTACGTATAATGCGAGCCTTTGTGGGGGTTACCGGTTTATAACAACATCCAACTTTCATGTCTTTTTGAGACAGGGTCTCATGTAGCCTAGCGCTGAACTCCCAAATTTCCCATTTCCACCTTAAGTTCTGAGATTACAGGCATATGTGGTCCTGGGGATTGAACTCGGGCCTTACTGCATTGTAGGCAAGCACTCTATGAACTGAGCTACCTCCCCAGCCTGTTTTGTGTATCTCTTCTTACTGTTTTTATGAAAAACTAAGCAAGTAGATATTAATGCTATGATTTTATTTTTTTGTGTTATTTTTATATTGCCATCATCATTGAATGTCTGCCAATCCAATGTTAAGAAATAGTACCTCTGTATCTTTGTTTTTGTCTTAGTTTTAAAAACTGAATTTTACTTGTGTGTGTGTGTGCACACAGGCCAAGTTGTGCCTATGGAGGTTGCAGGACGTGAAAGAATAAATGCTTTTTTTTTACCTTGGGGATTACAAGACTTGAGCTTAGGTCATTAGGTTAATGCATTTACTCAATGAGCCATCTTTCTTCTGCAATTTTGAGTACAGCCAAATCTCTTTCCATGTATTTAAAAGACAATGTAAGGGCTAGGAATATAGCTTATTGGCAGAGTACTGTCTACATAGCATATATGAGATCCTCCTCTCATTCTCCAGCAACCCATCTCAAAAAACAAAACAAAAACAAACCTACAAAAGCTACTTTGCTGTCATTAATGCTACTTTATTGTATTACTGGTGCTTCTCACTACATGGTTTTGGCTTAACTGGCAGAAGATTATTCTCTACATTTGTTTTCTTACTGTATTCCATTCAGGTGTTGCACCTCTTTTGCCTACAATGGTCCTCATGATCCCAACTTTCCTATCTCCAACTGGTTCTTACATAATATACTATAGACCCATCTTTATTATATGAGTGAGACATGATCTCTCACATCCTATATTTCTTATGTTACACGTGATTATAGATTTATACATCAAATATTTACCTTTTACCTGTATGCTGTTTCTCATTTTCCTTTACTTTATAAACATGAGTTCAAATTTGGATTGCACCTCAACCAAAGTGTGGCCTCAAGTATTTGCTGGAGGTAAGTACTTGGAAGTCGATATTCTATTCAAGCAGAATGACCTACTTTTGTCATAGTTATGGTATGTTTCTTTGGAAACAGACAAAGAAAATGAAGTATATGGGATAATAAACTTCACAATTACAAAAACAATCTTTTAAAGAAATCCAGAAGGCTGGAGATGTTGCTCAGAGGTTAAGAGCACTGGCTGCTCTGGCAGAGGACCCAGCTTTGATTCCTAGCACCTGTGTAGCTGCTTATACCCATCTGTAACTCCAGACCCAGGAGATCCAATGCCTTCACCTGGCCTCCTTGGGTATCAGACATGCACACAGTACACAGACATACATGCAGGAAAAACACTCATATACAAAAGACTAGAGAAAAATTAATTCAAAAAGAAAAAGAAGACTCAGAACATATCTCCAGGAGCCTTTGGAAGGATGTGACCTGAGCTCACAAGAGGTAGCATAAAAGAGGAATAAGAAAAAAAATGCCTATTTTATTTCATGTGATCTTTAGAACACCTTGTTAAAAAGTGTCTGATGTTATTTTAAAAAAGGAGGTTTGTGTGTGTGATGTATCAGTTCCTCGTGGTGACTCTCACATATGCCACTGCGCATGTATCTATTTATAGTAAAGGAATAGTCTATTTCTCTTGGACTTGGTGCTTCCTATAACACAGACAACCCAAGAAAACAGCCCACTGCCGATGTTCCCTTTTAATCCAAGAGAATCTCTTGTAACAGGAAATTCTCTTAAGTATGAAATTTCCCTTGATACACTTACGTTTGCTGAGTATGTACAATTATATTTTTACATATCCACCCTTCCTTCCTACTCCTGTTATCCCTCCCCTATACATTACTCTTCTCCCTTTTACTTTCATGTGAAACATATGTTTATGCACATATATGTGTATCACATGAAAGTACATAGTTTTGTATGTATAAATTCTGTAATTCTAGGACTACAAATAAGAGAAAATATTCAATGTTTGTCTTCCTGTGTCAGACTTCTCTCACTTAATATGGCCATTTCCACTTGCACTCATTTCCCAGCAAATAACAAACTCATTCTTCTCTGTACCTGACTATAACTATTACGGATGTACGCCACACTCTTATACATGCACCTCTTGACAGATGGAGAGGCTTATTCTCTAATACTTTCCAAATTTCAGGTCTTACATAAGAACTTTAATCATTTTGGACTGATTTTTGTGCAAGGTGATGGGGTAATCTAACTTTGTTCTTTTGCCAGTGGCTACCCAGTTTTCTTTTCTTAATATTTTTTTATATTAATTACGTTTATTCACTTTGTATCCCAGCTGTAGCTCCCTCCCTCATTCCTTCCCAATTTCATCTTCCCTTCCTCATCTCCTCCCATGCCCTTTTCCAAGTCCGCTGATAGGGGAGGTCCTCCTCCCCTTGCATCTGGCCATAGGCTATCAGGTCTCATCAGGTTGGCTGCATTGTCTTCCTCTGTGGTCTGGCAAGGCTGTGCCCTCCCCCCCCCCCCAGGGGTAGATGATCAAAGAGCCAGCCACTGAATTCATGTCAGAGATAGTCCCTGTTCCCCTTACTAGGGTACCAACTTGGACACTGAACTGCCATGGGGTTATATCCGTACAGGGGTTATATCTGTACAGGGGTTCTAGGTTATCACCATGAATGGTCCTTGGTTGTAGTACCAGTCTCAGACAAGACCCCGTGTGCCCAGATTTTTGGGTTCTGTTGCTCTCTTTGTGGAGCTCCTGTCCCCTCTAGGTTTTACAATTGCCCCGTTCTTTCATGAGATTCCCCGTACTCTGCCCAAAGTTTGGTTATGAGCCTTAGCATCTGCTTTGATACACTTCTGGGTAGTCTTTCAGAGGCCCTCTGTGGTAGGCTCCTGTCCTGTTCCCTGTTTTCTCCCTCTTTGGATGTCCATCCCGTTTGCCTTTCTGAAATTAGGAAAACAACATCTTTCACAATAGCCATTAATAACAAAGTACCTTGGTGTGACTCTAACCTGTTCAAAAAAACCTTCAAGTCTCTAAAAATAGAAAGAAGTAGAAGAAGATATCAGAAGATGGAAAGATCTCCCATGCTCATGGATAGGTAGGATTAACAGTGAAAATGGTCATTGTGCCAAAAGCAACCTTTGGATCCAATGCAATTCCCATCAAAATACCAACACAATTCTTTACAGACCTTGAAAGAACAATTCTCAATTTCATATGGAAAAATAAAAAACCCAGAATTGCCAAAACGATCCTGTACAACAGCTCGACTGGAGGTATCTTCATCCCTAATCTCAAGTTGTACTATACAGATCAATAGTAATAAAAACTGTATGTTACTGGCATAGAAACCGAATTGT